ACGAAGAAATCGAAAAGCGTATCGTATCGATCTATACTCGTGAGAGTTTTCTTTATCGCCTAGTGAATACAACATTACGCGATAATGACTTATTGAAATTGCATAATCTTGGTGCATTCTGTTGGCTACTTTTTCATTGTGATTGTTCGTCAACATTTCGAAATCTAGGCTATGCTGATAAACTTTATCGTGGTGCTCAACTTGATAAAGATACTATTGAATTATACAAACAATCTATTGGTCTTGTTAAAACTTGGGATGCTTTCTCATCGACTAGTAAGAATCGAAAGAAAGCTGAAACATTTGGTAATACTCTATTTATTATTAGTCTTGCTAAATCAACCAAATATAAATATTCTGGCATGGATATATCGTCATTATCTTGTTATCCAGATGAAGAAGAGGTACTTATTCGAGCAAGTAGAAACTTTTTCGTAGACAACGTCGAACAAGATAATGTTACAGGAAAATATTTGATTTATTTATCGTTATGCTAAATGATCGATAGGAAGTAAAGAAGACATATCAGACACTCATGATTAAATCGAATTTGCTTGAAATGTATTTCTATTTTGAGGAAAAACTTTCAAATGTTAAAATATAGATTACGATTTTCATCGTCTACATTTCGAATTGTGCTAAAATTCATTGTTACCGAATTATCTAAAGAAAAAATAATAATTGAAATTCAGTCTGGCATAGAATTTAGTTGCTACAATAATTTTGTAATAAAAACCGTGTAACGCAAGTTAGAATGCATAGAATGAAAAAGTGAATATTTTTATGTGAAATGAATCATGAAATCATATGTCCTCATTTGCTTCTAACAGCACAGACACGTCTGCACTCTTTCCTACTTACGACATACAAAACTTTATTTAAATATTGATGATTACAATACATAATAATATGTCAATCATCGTTGTGAACTAACTATGAATAATTCACGTCTTGTTGGAAAGTAAAATTTTTTCCTATCGTTTTCCAGTGAGAAACTGTCACATTCAATATATTGCAGTTTCATTCTTATGCGCAAATCGAACTAACCGTAGCTTGTTTCTGGCAATAGCAATAAATTTGCTAAACGTGCGCTTTTTCAACGACATGGTCGGCAATATATATTTCCATTTTCTTGACATTTTATTTCAATTATTCTACTAAAACTAATATTAGAAAAAAATTATTCTATTGCAAACAACGAATGAAATTTTATTTCACATTTCTTTGATCATTGGTCCAATTTACTATGCTTAATTCCATATTTTTTTCTTAATTCATGTAATAATGTATGATTAAATGGACAACTAATATTTCGACCATTATCAATAAAACCTTCGACTTGCCATTGACGATATTCATGAACAAAATCTTCTACCCAGAAATCTAAACAAGCAAAATTTCTATTCGATGTTCTTGTTGTAACTAAAGAACAAAATTCTTTATCTTTTTCACACATTTCAACAAATAATTGTCCATCAGGTGCTAGATTATCATGAGCATTGACTGGTAATGAAAAACCTTCAAGAATAAGTTTTGATGCTTGTCGAATTAATTTAATAACTTCATCTTTTTTAATACCTTTTTGTCGTTCATTAATTGGATAATAAAGACCTTTAATATAAGGTGTACCACTTGTCATATGTTGTTCAAGATATGAACTATATGCTTTTTCTGTATTTTCTAATCCCCATGGTCTTATACCTCCAAGATTAATAGTTATAGATCCATCTGATAAAAATGTTTGATACATCTGTCCAGTATCTGGTCCAGTTATATGAATATCCATTTGACGTAAAATTTTTAATTGAGCTATGAAATTATTTTCAATTAATTCATATATTGGAGATCGAGAATCAGTTGGTGTGGCATTTATTTGAATTGAACTAAGATTTTGAGCTCTCAATTGATTGTAGAAAAGATAAGAGACACGAACTAATGGCCATTGTAATTTAGATGTATTATTCAAAAATGAATCAGTATAATTATTGATTTCATTTATAGCATCATTGATCTCTTTTCTATCATTACTTGTAAAACGTTTATTATCAATAATATATGCTAAAAGAAGATCATGTGGAGTTCGCTTTTCAGATGAAGATTTATGTCTAATAATTGGATGAATAAGACCATGTTGTTGATAGATTCTATCACGAAAAAGTCTTGAACCATCTAATTCAACACCTCCAGGTAATTGTAAATTAGATTGTGTACAACGTTGATATAATGTTCCACTACCCATAACAAGTTCTTCAAACATAAACCAATGTCCGTTTGATATTTTATTTAGAACACTTTGTTTAAGAATTCCAAGACCACCAAAACGACTATAAATATCTTCACTCCAACATGTATTACAGTTGTCTATTCCAGCGAGAATACGAAAAGGATGAAGATGTCTTGGAGAAAAACGAATAAGTGCAACAAATGCTGGATAAAGTCCATCAAATAATGCATGACCAATATTATCATGCCAAGGTTGACTAAAATGAAGAGTAACAGATGGAATTATTCTTGGATCAATGACAGTACGAACGAATCTTTCAAGATGAGAATATGAATCAAAAACACGTTTGCTTGGTGTTGTATGCAACATAGTAAAGGCATCTGTTCGTACAGAATATGAAGGTAACTGTTTTCCTTTAACTGTTAAAATCATATACCAACTATTAACGTAATATAAATTGTGATACAAACAAGATTGATTATATGGTGAACCGACACATTGAATAGTTGTTTCTAATGTTTTATTATGATGAATAAATTTTGAATCTGTCAAAGTCAATGTATGTTTATTAATTTGTAGTAACAAAGATTTTTCTGGTGTTGAAGAAGTGAAATTGTTTTTGATATAATTAATATTTGAGTAGTGTTGTTCATTAATTTGATTCTTCTCAATATTGAATACATTCGGAATTAGTGGTCTCATATTTTCTTTTTGCGGAATTAAATTTTGCCAGATAATAATAATAATAATAAGAATTATGAGACAAAAAAATGATAGATAACAAAGTAGTGAATAAGTGAATTTTATTTTTCTTATTGTTAGCAACATAATTGATAATAATTTGAAATATGTACGGGAAAAAAACAATGAAACTAATAAAAAGTGTTCAACTTAATCTTGAAAAGTCCTTTAAATATCGTTTCTTGTTGTACACTTGTGCAGTCATTCAGCCAATAGCATATTAATCTTTAGCTGATATGATACCATGCTTATAAAAGAAGTTGTATAAAGACTGATTTCAACGCCAAATTTTAGAGAAAAAAAATGCGTTCTTCTTTATTTGCAATGCAGCTGAATGCATTTTATTTTTTGAGTTACAGGGTGTTTCTTCCGCTTGTAACGATATTTAATAGCTCCGTTTGAATGTGCTTTTAAGAGACCATTTTTTTTCTCAGCCAACATCATATCAAACAACCTTCGTATGCTTTTTTTGCGATCAGACGCGTTTCTTGATTATGCCTTTTGTCATATAGTGAAAACAAATACATTCAATACTATAATTGTTTTCTTTCGTTCTCTTTAGTTTTTGTTATACATTCTGAGTAGCTAGATAATACATATATTGTTTCATTCTTTGTCCTATGTCTAGTCTCATATTACGTATTTCTTTTTTTTTCATATATTTTCTTTTGGGTGATTGCGTTAGTTTGTTGCAACATTATCTTTTTTGATCTTGTTTCTGTTCAACATGTCAATAAACTTATATTGATTTATTTCTTCTTCTTCATTGACACGCAGCACAAGACGTGACACCTTTGAACTTTTTTTTATCATTCTTCTACTAAAAAAGTTATAGTTTTCTTAACACTCTAGCGATAAATTCTATGACTATAGCATAGTAGAGTATATTAGAAAATTACTGAAGAAATAAAAAGTTGTATACCGAAGGACGCAAGTGCAAAAGAATCGGAAAAGTTTGTTTCTATTGAAACAAAATCTTTTGCATTACTTATTCATTAAAATTTGTATTTCAATTATCATAACTATTATTTTCTTTGTGATTATCATCTTCTTCTCTTGAATGATTTCGCTTTTCATCGGTATTATTGATATGCTTGTCTTTTCAATTGATTAAAACAGAAATAATTCTCTTAACTTAACATTGATAAATTTCAATGTATAAATAACAAATTGATGTTTTTTTAAAACTAAATCACGTTGTGTAAAGTACGATGCTGACAGTAGCTAATGTCTGATATGATAAAACACGAAAATTGGTAATCATGATAACAGTTCTGAAAGCATTATAAACATAGGAATTATACAATTTATTGAAAGTATACATAAATCTTACATAGATTCTATCTCGTTGTATTCAATTGAAATATTGTGAAATATAAGTAAGAATAAATGTTGAAATCTCTTACAAAACAGTTGGATCCTTGTGAATATTTCTTATGACGCATGATAAGTTTCAGAAAAAAAATATTATTGAATCACTTTAGTCTTTTAAATATTTTGACTAGAGATGTATAGGACCAAATTCTTTTTGATTTCGGTCCTTGTCTACAGAAAACTATTCCAGAATTTATTTGTATCACATCTAAAACTTGAGTTCTGGTACTGCATATCTCTAACACTGTGACATATTATTTATACTTTTAATATAATTTTGACTTGTCAACGCACGACATCTATTCACTCATAACATTTATTGGTGACACTCAAGTCAGAGAAGAATAGTCAACAGAATGATGATGATGATGATAATGATGATTATACTACGGCTTTGAAAATAATAAGAACCATAACATAATTTTATAAAATTTCAACCTTTCTTTTGAGTCTTAAGTGCTGATTTCATCCAGAAGAAAAAAAATTGTTAATTAATTTATTACATTTGCTATTGTGTCAACATTACATACGCATATAATTTTAACCTTTAGGATTCAATTAAAATGGTCTGATTTCCTATATAAATCAGATTCAAAATAAAATTTTTTTTTTTTTTGTTAAGATTATTTGCATTGTTTTTTTTTTATCTATCTATTTTCAGATGGCAAGTAGTGCAAAAGAAAATTTAATTCAATTTGAAAAAGTAAATAATATTCAAGAAATAACAGCAGCTGATGAAATCTATGCATATGATGCTAGTTTTCAACAATCAATTTTACAAACTCGACCATGGTTACAAAAGTAAAATTGAATTTATTTTTTATTAGGGGGAAAAAAAAAATTATTATTTGTTTTTTTATTTATAATTTAAAGTCCAAATTATTTTAAACGATGTAAAATCTCAGCTTTAGCTTTATTAAAATTAGTTATGCATGCTCGATCAGGTGGTACACTTGAAGTTATGGGTATGTTATTAGGAAAAATTGATGGTGAAAATATGATTGTTATGGATTCATTTGCTTTACCAGTAGAAGGAACAGGTAAAATTTTATACAATAACATTTATTTCGAGGGTGTAGGCGTGCGTGGGGTATAGGTACGATCGTTAGTGTAATGCGTGGTGAAGCTTTGACTTCTGACAATTAGATACTTTTTCGTCTGTTTACTCTTTGATTAATTGTGAAAATAAAAAGTATTTTTCAGGATTTCCGAAAACTTTTTTTCAGTTTCGATCCCGCCGCGGTGTCAAGGTGTCCTCCGCTGATATCTAATGTTAGGACAGTTTATTAATATCAAAGAAATCTATGCATTATCTTAAGAATGTAAAGAATTATGGAGAAAATGATAACATGGAATAACTTTCATTAAATATGTAACAGTACGGCTGAACTTGATGATTAGAATGTTTGATCGATATTATTTTCTATAAGGTTCAAAAATTAATAATCTGTTTTTTGACATTCTAGAAACTCGTGTAAATGCTCAACAAGAAGCATATGAATATATGAGTTCATATACATTATGGGCTAAAGAAGTTAATCGTCCAGAAAATGTTATTGGATGGTATCATTCACATCCCGGTTATGGTTGTTGGTTATCAGGTATTGATGTTGATACACAAATGCAAAATCAACAATATCAAGATCCATTTGTTGCTATTGTGGTAAGAATAATATTTTGTTTGATTGTTTTACTCAATAAAATAATCATTTTTTCAGGTTGATCCAACACGAACAATATCTGCTGGTAAAGTTAATATTGGTGCATTTCGTACATATCCAAAAGGACATAAAGCTGAAAGTGAAGCTATTGAATATCAACCAATACCATTAAATAAAATTGAAGATTTTGGTGTTCATTGTAAACAATATTATCCACTTGAAGTATCATTTTTTAAATCATCACTTGATAAACGTCTTCTTGAACATTTATGGAATCGTTATTGGGTTAGCACACTTAGGTTTGTTTTAGGATGATTTTGTTTTTTTTTTTTTTTTGTTGAAGAAATATTCATTTTTTTATTTTAGTACATCAACATTATTAACTAATGCTGATTATATAACGGGTCAAATAAATGATGTAGCTGATAAACTTGAACAAGCTGAAAGTCATTTAGGACGAACAAGTTTTTTACCATTACCTGAACAAGATCGAAAACAAGATGATAAATTAGCAAAAGCAGCAAAAGATTGGTAAGTCAAAAAAAATCTATTGAAGAAAAAATTTTTTTTTTTGATTATTTAGTACAAAAACAGCTGTAGAAGCAGTTAATTCATTAATGTCACAATTAATCAAAGAACGTTTATTCAATCAAGTGACATTTCATTCATGAACATTTTTACAATTGTCTTCTCTTTTCTATTGAACGAAAAAAAAAAAATATATATTAACTAATTCTATTCTAGAATGACATGAAGAATTGTTTTTTTTTTCGCACTTGATCATGAAAATAGAAGACTTTCTGGTTTTCTATATGCGCAAAATTCGAAAAACTGGGATCTCTAAATTCAATAGCTTTTAGGATTTTCATTAGAACACACTATGTAGTACTTATAAGCAAAAAAAGATAGACTTCGAAATGAATATCACATGTAAGAGTACCCACCGGAGTCAATAGTCCGACATCTTCTTTACAACTAATATTCGCTATAGGTCTGACATAGAGTTCTTGATCTTTCTTTATACACTAACTAACAAAAAGAATAAGTGTATGTTAGAACATAGTCAGCACACTATCGGACAATTCCGTAGCAAGTAGTATCGAGATTTGAGTACATGTCGAACAACATGACCATTCAGTATAGGGACATCCGTGGTTATTTTGATTTTTAATTATACAAGATATTTTACAAATAAATATCAAGGTAACCATGGGCGTCTGTATGATATTTGTTTTGCATTCTACCTTTTTCTGAGTAGTTTTAGGGATTTTTTACAGGTACCTTATTTAAATCCATATCGGTCGTGGGTCGTGATTAACCCTTCTGTAATTTTTTTTCTCGTTTCTTTCGTGTTGTGTAAGATGCCTGCAGTAAACAAGGAATTCTTATAATGCTCTAGAAAAAAGAAATTAAAATTTATTACGCATGTAAGCGCGACTGTGTCTTCTATTTAATATCGAATATGAATAATAGATGATATAAGATTTAGAAGTTTATTCTATTAATGAAAATTATTATTTTTCATAATTTGAAATTCTTTTTTGTTTTCTAGATTTTTCGTATAAATACTATGAGTCATAACTCGTATAAATTACTAAATAATTCAACAGATAAACTTGATGTGGATCCACCTGTTACAATGAATAATACATTGAGAAAAAGATTTATTCAAATAACATTTGCTGTTATACTTTATTGGTATAAATAAAAAAAAAAAAAAACTATTTTATTTTCTATATTAGTTTTTTTGTTTTGTTATATTTAGGTTTATTTCAATAACAATGGTTTTTTTAAATAAATATTTACTTAGTTCAAATGATGTAAAAGTACGTTTTTTTATTTGTTTATTTGAACTTGTTTTTTTTTTAAATATAAATATTATAGCTTGATGCACCACTTTTTATAACATGGTATCAATGTGTTGTAACAGTTGGAATTTGTGCTTTATTAGGAAGTTTAAATAAACATATAACAATTTTTTCAAAATTTCCAACATTTAAAATTGATCTTAAAATTGCACGTGATGTAAGTTAATTAAAGCAAAAAAAATTATTTATTTTTTTTATTTATAACAAAAAATTTTTGATAAAAAGGTTCTTCCATTATCAGTTATGTTTGTTGCTATGATTATATTTAATAATTTAACTTTGAAATATTTAACTGTATCATTCTATATGGTTGGTCGATCATTAACTACAGTTGCTAATGTGGTATGTTATTGTTGAAAAAAAAATTGACAAAAAAAAAAAAAAAGGATTTTGATTTATTAGATTTTTACATATTTTATGCTTGGACAAAAAACATCATTTAAAGCTTTAGCATGTTGTGGACTTATTATTGCAGGATTCTTTCTTGGTATTGATCAAGAAAATGCACTTGGTAAGATGTATAGTTAATCTAAACATTTGTTTTGAAAAAATGAAATAATTATATCTCGTTAAAAACACAAGCTGTGAGCTCAATCCCTGCAGGATTAAAATATGAAGTACGCTGTAGTTGCTATTATTAATCATAGGAAGATTGTTTTACTTCGATCTATTTTAGAATATATTTCTTCATCATTCTTTTACTTAGTCTTCTAGATATACAATAAGAAAGTAGTTCATATGTTAGAACAAGATGTTATTAATATACGGTCTGTGATCGTATATCAACAATGTCTGTCGACGAGGAAAATGAGTCCTGAAGATCAGACGAAATGAGATCAATAATCGTAAGAATGCATCATATTAATTATTTCTTATTTACAATGAATGCATAGGAAAAACTTTAGCATGATAAAATTGCTAGCGCAGAAAAACAAAGTTCATAACCTTAATGCCATATGAAAATTAACTTTCGATTGAATGCATGTATATATAATGTGAAATAACTTGACCATTGAATTTACAGTTCTTCATGGAACTCTTACAAACAGACATAAAAAGCTATATGTTGTTCGATGATTTTTGACTAGGAAAAAGCAATATATTTAGTCTTCTTCTATCTAATACTATATGCATTATCAGATTCTACAGCATATTGCTGACATGTCAATCGGTAGCGCCATCTATCGACATGCTGTAGAACCTGATAATGGATACACCGTTTAATAGAAGAAGTTTTTCTCTACAAGACTACATATAATTCTATATTGTAGTGAAAAACCTTCTAGTCATCTTTATCTTGATATAAAAATTTTTGAAGTTAAATACAAAAAAATTGATCGTTGAATTTTTATTCTTAGGTACTTTGTCAATGTCTGGTGCATTTTGTGGTGTAGCATCAAGTGTATTTGTTGCTTTAAATGCTATTTATACATCACGATGTTTACCATGTGTTGATAATAATGTTTGGCGTTTATGTTTATATAATAATTTTAATGCATGTATTTTATTTCTTCCTTTAATGATAATTTTTGGTGAATTATCAATTGTTATAAATTATTCTAAAATATTTAATTTACCATTTTGGTTTGCAATGTCAATGGCTGGTTTACTTGGTTTTTCAATGGGTTATGTTACTGGTTATCAAATACAAATGACAAGTCCATTAACACATAATGTATCAGGTACAGCAAAGTCTTATGTACAAACATTACTTGCTGTTGTTATTTATAGTGAAGTAAGAATTTAATTGTTTAAAAAAAAAAGAAAAAGGAAAAAAATTTATTTGATTTATTCTTTTAAAGACTAAAACAACACTTTGGTGGATATCAAATTTATTTGTACTTGGTGGTTCAGGTCTATTTGCACATGTTCGAGCAACCGAAATGAAACAGAATCATAATACAAATAAAAATAGTGATAATAATTCAACAACATCTTTACCAAAATGAATAGAAAAACAAAGACAATTTGAATAATTGTGAAATAAAAAAAAGAATCTCTATGATACTTTTATTTAATTTGAAAAACACAGACACCAGAAATTATATTAATAATATTTTAATTTTTATTTAGTATAATTCTATAACTTTCAGATGTCAATGGTAAAGAAAATTCTACTTGATATTTTACTTCCAAATGGTTGTGTCATTGTTGTAGAATGTGAAGAGTAAATTTTTCTTAATGTTTATATTTTATTTTTCATAAAAATTGTTATGAATATTTTTAATCTAGGGATATGACATTAGAGAAAATAAAACAAAATACATTATCATGTGTTAAACGACAAACACCATTTAATGAATTAGTTCATGATCAAAAAAATTATTATTTAGAATCAGTTATATCAAGTGCACAAATTATTCCATTATATGATGAACAAATTAAACTTAATGAATTGAAGTAAGAATCGAAGATTTGTTTTTTTTTATTTGTTAGTCAAATTAAGAAACAAAAAAATTCATTTTATTTCATAAATTAATCTCTTTAATTGATTCATCTGATTGATAATCTCCGTTTAAGCTTATTGTGTAGATAAAAATCCTGAACGGTCTAAAATTTTCCCCACAGCAATAACTCTCATCCATTCACTAACTGAAACTGAACCGTTGACTAACATATACTGTAACTGATAAATCGATTTTGAGTTGAGATTATGTGTATCATGTCGATCCTAATGAGCTATGAATATACTCTGAAAAGAATTCGTGTCATTAGCTTATCGTTGCGGAAATACTGCACTTTTACAATATTTTTTTAAAATGAATGTCGTAGTCTTAGGAAAATTGATTTTCGAATTTCGACTTGATACTTCACATAGAGATAGGTTTGTCAGTTGACGAAATTCGCTCGCTAGATGAATTATTGACTAATTCTTATTGTTCCTTGATTTATATGTATACTGTCAGAGTATAGTAGGACTTGATATGTCTACTTCAAGTATTAGTCGATCCAAAATAAAAGGCAGGCTACTATTTTTCGAATAATTTTTGATAGGAATGAGATAGAGAGATGCGGTTTTCATCATTCAAAAGAACGATGTCCGGACCATTGATCGTATAGAACTCATTAAGATGAAAGATGATTTTTTATAGGTATCTTTGAATCAACACTTTTTCCTTTGAGCATTTTGACATAATTTTAGTTGAGACTATTGTGAAAACTGTCATTTAAGCTCATATTAAGTTCACGAGAAGGTCTCGGTAAGACTAGAAAAATTCTAAAATGGTTCGTGCCTATGGATCTCTAGAGCTGACCTATGACCGTTTTACTGAGTTTTCGATTCAGCTTTAGCCATTTACCAAAAAAATCAAATAACGATATTTCAATCTGAAATTCTACTAGTCTTTTGACCTATTTATAGCCGAAATTTCGAATCGAAATATCATTATTTCATTTTTCGGTAAATACCTTGAGCCGGTTCGAAAATTCAGTAAAACGGTCGTAACTTGACTCCGGGAGCTTATAGACACGAACAATTTTAGGGTTCTTCCAGCCTTATTGAGACTTCCTTATGAACCCAATATCAGCTTAAACGACGAGTATCAGTCCGAGTAGTTCTCTCCTTAGAAGCAAAGTTTTTTTTTGCTAAATATTAATGTCTTCATTTTTGACAGATTCATAGTCATGTGATTTCGATTCCTATAACTTTCTTGTCATCTTATAAAGACAATTTTCTATTTCTATTCCTTAGTCAATATAATATTAGTCTACAAAAATAAAATGCACAGCCATAAACACGTCAAAGAGATGACTCATAATCCAACATGTGTTGATTTGTTGTATTTAATGTTTACTTAAATTTTTAGTCTATTTTATGGATATCTGAGTTTACGTGAACATGATGCTTTTCTTGATGAAAAAGATGATTTAGCATTGATGAGTAAGTTTTAATTATAAAAAGGAAAAAACAAATCTTAATTACAAAATTTTTATTTTTATGAAAAGGCCTTCTACTCGGTTTTCCACTTGATGATTTTGCTAGTACATTAGAACGTGAAGCATGTGAAGCTCGATCATTATTAAATCGTTTAGCTGATATGCTTGCACAAGAATCAGCAAGAGATTTACAACGAAATGGTTTACAAGAACAAAATTCTTCACAAGAAAATGATGAGAACCAATCGAATCTTGTTAAATCACAAAATTTATTAAAACAATTTGGTCTTACTTCAGGTTTCTATTCGAAAAAAAAACAAAATAAAACAAGAATAATATATTCATTGGAATACTTTCTTTTTTTTTCTTTCAAAAGATACTCGTCCAGTATTTGTTCAAGTACAAGAACGTCATTCAACTTCACCTATATGTTTTAATCTTTCAAGTAGTTTATATTCTTCACCTATTGATATTGTTGCAAATGTGATCTTATCGAAATTATCTGCTAGTAATCCAGCAATGGCTTATGAAGAAAGGATGAAAATTGTTAAAGAATATAGAACACGTTACTGGTTACAAGCATTTGGCTGTGAAGAAAGACTATTTGGTACTAAGCCATTAATACAATCACGTGTAAGATTGATTATTTAAATAGATTTTGTAACAAAGAAAAAAAAAAGAAAATGATTGTAAAAATTGCTTCGTATTTTTCATTATCAAATTTTAGATTATATAGTAGTAGATAAAAGTCTTAGCCAGGGTATCTGCTGAAAATTTGTGTACATGCCAGAAATGTTCATTGCGGCTAGAAATCTACCGCAGTCTTAAAAGAGACAAGGCTCAGGCCTGCTGTAATGTGACTGCCGCCATGAACATCTCTGATACACGCACTTCATCAAGAAAGTAGGTTATTGGCATTGTGGCTCTATTATTGCTTAATCATAAAGAGAGTTGTGATGAATTGCATCTATTTTCGCTGTCAGTCTCATAACTCTGGACAAGAAGAGTATTCTATGCTAGCTGTAGACTCTGTCGGATTGATCTTGGATCTAAAAAATTTCAATCAATCAAGTCCGGAGCCGACTGGCTCTATTCAACTGACTCCTCGATTTGTAATGCTATGTTTCGGCTATCTACATTACTAATTTCATTGAAGTTCAACATGATAATTCAACGAAACAAGTTCAAACTTATTGAGAAGCTTTATCTACAAGTTTTAGAAGCAGATTCTGCATTAACAAGAAATGAGATATAGATGATGATCTTGTTAGTTTAAGGATACAGAAGCAGCAAATGAACTTATCTTTTGGATGAAGAAAGACCGTAGATGGAACTTCAGCTACATGTAAAAATATCAAGAATTAGTCATAGTCTTAGTAAGAAACAGCGCAAAAAATTTTTTAGGGAATCCTTTTTAGATTGTAATACTCAGAGCAATAATAGCTCCGCAATACCAATGGCCTACAATATTTGTGAAATGCATGTACATAAATTTTCAGACCTCTAGCAGATACCTTGACCAAGACTTTTGTCTACTACTAAGTAAAGGCCGAAAAAGAAAGAATATTAGACCTACATTAGATCTTCTGTGATTGACAATTTGATTTGCTGCCGAAAACATTCTTTCGAAAGCAATTGAACTGAATCATATTAAGTATATACAACATGCTAATTAATCCTACCCTGCCCATTTCGGTCTCTGCTATTGATGTTGCATATTAAATAAATAATATTTACTAAATAAATGTGGAAACCTCGGATTTAAATCCGAGAGTTATGTGTACTTCAAAAAGTGAATGAGACAGATGAGTCATCCTAGAATGTCTGGACGTAAAAATTATCCTGGCAAACCTTTTCTATAAACACTTGCTTTCTATTGGCTACTGCTCAACCAATAGGATTTAGATGTGAATAGAGTTCAGATTTGAACTCTTCGCCTTGATTTACCCTAACAAAGTCGTTTTTCCGATAACTTGATTTCTGTTGGTTACTGTTCAACCATATAGGATTTCGATACAGACGGAGCTTAGATTGGAGTTCTCCGACCCAAAAAACCTCGAACTATCATCGCTGTGATCGAAAGACAGAGCTCGAATTGTGGCTCAATTAGAGTGTGGACACAAACAGAACCAATTCCCGTTTAATTACCCTTGCAATAGGTGAGTTAATCTTCTTGTTTCTTTATGTTTTATATGCAATTTTGTAGCTCGTGAAATTCTCTGTCGAATGGTATATAATAGTTGGGGTTTTATTTGTTTAGGATAGGAAAAGTTTTTTACGAAAGCGGGGATAGGTCGATTTTCGCATAGGAAGCCATAGGGAAAAATGACTATTTTTGCAATAACTCAGGAGCGGCTCGGCCAATCCTTCTCATCTTCTTCTCTCGACCGAGATATTGTTGAGACTAAACTGTGTAGAAAATTTCATCGCGATCGGACTCTCCTTTCAAAAGTTATCGTGTAAACGAACGGCCGACCGGACACCCTGACCGATTCTATAGTGTACTCACTTTTTGAGTATACAAAAAAGAAATTTTATTGCATTTAGTATGTTCAAACATGTCTTCGTCTCGATAAAACATTATATTTTAAATTAATTAATATTGAAAGCACAACTGGTAATGGTAAAAAACGATGTATAGCAATGATTCAGGAAGCTATTAAACAAGAAGAAGAACGAAAAAAACCACAAAGTAAATTCTTTTCGTCTTTTTTTTTTTGTTCATTTGAATTTCATGTTTTTTTATTTTTAATTAAAGAATTCGGTGGACGAAGTAATGAAACTCGTCAAGTATGGAATGAAAAAGAAATAGCTTCCAAATATTTTTCTTTACGTATTTTATCTGGTCAATTAATTCCAGCTGGTGAATTTGATGAAGTAAATTATTATTTGTTTTTTTTGTTTTTGTGATAAATATTAAAATAATATTTTATTTTGAATATTAAGGTTAAAATTATAATTGGATTATATCATGGTACACAACCATTATTTTCTGGATCAATTATGGAAAGTCGTTCAGTTGATACATTAAATCCTGATTGGCAACAAGAAATAAAATTTGATATAACATTAG